AAACTTAAATAGTAATTTGTAATTTTATAGTTATTAGTTAGAACATATTATATTCTTTATACGTTAAAACCGTATAAACTTAAGTTTTTTAAATGGTAAGGTAGTTAAATGATTACCTTTTTAAATTAAGAATAGTTCACTGAACATTTTGACTGTTCGATAACCAATTTGGAATACATTTTTTGAAAAATTATTAAGTTTAAAATGAAGGATGGGAGGTAGGGTGCAGTTGAGTATTGCACGCAGATTAAAATAACTGTACACAGTAATCAAACTAGTTGAAATAATTATTATGTGTAAAAATTAGATCATTTTCCGTCTTTTCTAAAAAATGCTCACTCTTTTTTTTATTTTCTTGGCGTTTTTATGTGGAACCCAACTTAAAATTTACACATTCTATGTAAAATTTCCTGAGCTGTTGGGAAAAAATGATTAGAAAACGTCTCAAATTTTGGAAGAACACGATAAAACAACTTTTAAGATTAAAAAATAAATTTTAGTGACTTTTGTTACTCGAAAAAATAAATCAATATTTTTTTCAGAAAGCTGAGATTATTTTCATAAGAAACTGATTTTTAATCATTTTTTTTGATGGCCGAAGATACCATAAAAAAATTATAAGTCACGAAAGAAACTAAAAATACTTTTTACGACCATGGCCATAGTAATCCAAAAAAATCGAAAAAAAATTTGAAAATATATTTTTATCATAACAGACATGCAGGGTAATATTCAACAAAATTCGAAGTGGGTTCTCAGAACTTTTGTCTATATTTAGCCTTTTGACCCATGTCCAGGATGTCTATATAAATGAAATAACTTTTGTTTTAGTGAATATATTAAAGATTTTTTTTTTAAATTAATTTATAATAATTTTCGCTATAAACATCACGTTTTTTATTGCACTTACCTATTTTACTTTTTAAAATTATTTAAACATTTTTTTTGTTACATTAATTTTAGTAAATTTATGATGGCCATTTTATTAAGAATAATTTACTGAAAATGTTGATAATCAGTTTTGAATAATTTTTTTTAAGTTATTTAAGGTTAAATGTAAGATGGGAGGTGAAGTGCGGTAGAGTTATTCGTGCAGATAAAATTAACTAGGCGTTTACTCTACCGCACTCCACCTCCCATCATACTCCCATTATGCCCTTTAACTTTTAATAACCTAAGAAGTAATTATCCAAAACTATTTATTGACCAGTCAAAATTCTCAGTAATTTATTTTCAATAAAATGGCTATCTAGAATGTTTAAAAAAATTATTAAAAAAGTAAAACAGTGTAATACAAACCGGGCTGTTTATAGCGCAAATGAGTGTAAATTAATTTAAAAAAAAAAATCTTAAAAGTAACACTAGAACAAAAGTTATTTAATTCGTGAGGTCTTTGTGAGACACCCTGTATATACAAATAAAGGTTTGACACCTGTTATTTGGGTCTGTGGTAATTCGGAGATAAAGCAGCCGGAGTGACATACACATAATATCGCCGCCACGGTAGAACAAAATTTACAATGACACAACTGCAAAATTTGATAAAACGGACTAAATGCTTCAATGTGTTTAGATATAACAAACGCATAAGGTAGAAATATGATGTAACTGTAGTTATGTACTGGCCAAGCCCCAATTTCATAATCAATTGTGCATTCATAAGTTATTGATATGAAAACAATTTGGTTTTTGGTTCTTGTGTAAAATTTCAATTATTGCAGTTTTGTCATTGTTCTACCGGGGCGTCGATTTATTAAAACATCCCAATATCTGGTTAATTATATTAGCATATAAATGGTAAGATGTCAGCTAATTAGTATGTAGTTAAATGCGAGTGCTGTCCACCGGTATGAGACGTGTCACTCCTTCTCCTTCAATTATTATATAATTATATTTGTAATGCGTACCCAGCCCAAGGTGCTGTCTACAAATACGGCTTTATAGGTTTAGTTTGGCAGTAACAATAGCTACCAGTCATAGATATTATTATTTTTGCTAATCATATTATGTCAGGCAAAAAGACAGCGTTACAACTTATCTATATAAAAATAATGACTTAATTACTAACTAATCAATTTGTATACAGCTGATTCCGATTGTTTGAATGTATGTCGTTTATTGAAGAAGTTGGCAGAAAACAACGAAAGCTCCGACAAAACCAAGGTATTAAAGGTCTCAAATCAACTAGTTTAAATTTAAAATTAAATATATATACATCGATTATTGGAAAATATCGAATTGTGATATAATCTAAGTTCGTTTCGTGTGATTTTCTTGTATTATTCTTATTCATATTATTACTAGAGTCAGCTGAAATGTGATATATTTTTCAATAATATAACCCTTATGTGTTAGAACCCTATAAATTTAAAATTGTCAAATAGTTTTATTTTACAGTGTGATTTTTAGCATGAGACTCATTTTCTTATAAGTAAAATGGTGATTCTTGTAATGTTATATTTTTTCGAGAAAATGAGTTACTTATCTTTAATGAAATACCCTGTAAACGAAAGGTAACTGAAGTTTAAAATTAGGACGAGAAATGAAGTAATATTAAACTTTATTATAATTAAAAATAGTTGCTCAAAATCGATTTTCGAATAGTCGAAATTTGCAGCGAATTATTTTCTATTTAAAAAATGAATAACATATATACGTTACCGTTTGAAAAGCTCAAGTTCATAGGACATTACATATTAGGGATGGTGTTGTTATTTTATTGAAAACATAGGTAATTTAAATTGGACGAACTGTTAGCTAAATAAATTTAATATGTTAAAGATATTTTTTAAGATATTGATTGGGTCATTGCTGTTACAAGTAATCCGTAGTACAGAGCCTGAAAGTATAAATTGTTTTCAGGATAAAATACTCACGCCATTAGAAGTGAATTTGTACGTGGATGAGTTCATGAAAGTCGCCCAATCTCATGAACAACTGGGATTTCTTACTCTGCGACAGCTATCAGAAGTATTTAATTATTGGAAAACGATGAATGATACATTGAAACTAAAATCAGAATATCTTAAAAGCGGAAAAGGCGGTAATGCACATAAGCCGAACAGGCGCTACACTAGGTTTAGACAATTTTTAATTCCTATTTCAATTTTAGAAGGCTATGTATTGTACGTGGCGGAGTTCTTGTTGATCATGTTGGATATTAAACAACCAGTAAGTGCAATACTCATGTAAAAGGGGGGGAAATAAAATCTTTGGATACATTAAATAGAAAACTTCTAAAATAACCAACTTAAAAAACCGAGCACATTCCAAACCAGCACGGTAAGGAATTACCAAAGTGGGGTTCAGTATCTACAGATTCGCATCAAAACGTTTTCTTCGAACGATTAGAATAAAATTATAAAAATCTGCAACAGCAGTTGTCTGCCTCTAAGGAAACTTGGCGGTTACTATGGAGAGGTTTGTAGGGTTTTCCTGGTTTCGCTGGCTTTCCCTACTTTTAACTCACCGAAGTACCATCTGCAAATAATTTTGGATCTAAAAGTGGTGCTAAACGTAAATCGGTCAACATGAAAAAATGTTATCGTGTCTACAGACATAGAAAAGCAGATTTCCAATTGTTTTTTTTTAAATGTAAATTTTTTTTTGGTAAATTTGTTTTGTGATTAATAACATACTGAATTTAAAGTTGATAATTCTATAATAGTCTCTAAAATCCACATTTATGGAGCTTAAGTCACTATTTGGATTTTTTTTTTACACATGTTATCGGTACATGTTAGATCGATCTTCAGACTAATTTTCCGCTCTTAAAACCTAAAATAACGCGTAAAAAAATTGAAACAAAAATCTTGAAAACGCCCCAGGGGGCGGGGGATTATCGAAACTTGGGTTCAGACACAAAAAAAAAACATTATTTTTAAAACCATCTCCTTCTATGCTATGGCATCGATGCTTACAAGGATTTTCGAGAAAATACAAAGTACAAGCATTAAGTATTTTTATTTATTAAAAACTATGTTTAATATATAAAAAGAACTTGTTCCACACGAAAATAACTAATATGAAAAAAAATGGTTAACAATTTACAACTTAAAAAAAAAATTAGTAAGTGAGTATATTATTGTAAGGGAGATTCAGTGTTCACGGGTAAAAATACAAATAATGTTAAAAGTATTGTTTCTAGAGACATTTTTGTGCTTAAGGCCCCTGGATACGGACGATGTTTAAGGAGTTTTGTGTAGGCAATATTTAAGAAAAAAGGGGTTTTAATAAATTTCGACCATGTTAATTAATTTACCGGTTAATTTATATGAGCTTCATGGGTATTATTTTTAATTTAAATCATTTTGTCTACGAGTAAAGCCATTTTAGTTAATGTAATAGTACATTTTTTGTCCATCACACAGGCTGAACCAGTGATCCGATAAGTAATCTGAAAACGGATTTAAATTTGTCATGAAGTTTACTTGAGATCGGTCAGCGTACCTTTTTGATATCTTATTCTTACTACGCATAAAACGTTTGAACATTTTATAAAATTTCAAATTATCCTTCTGTAATTATAACTTGTCATAAGATGGACGCCAAAAACCACCTATTTAATTTAAGTTTCAAGCAGAGGCAATTTTTTGAAAAATCTTAATTTAGAGCTATAACTATAGTATATTATAATACTTGTTAATACAGTAGGTAATGAGAATTATTTTTGTATAGAATTTCTCAATATAAATTAAATTGTTTTTCTACATCAATCCCATTTTCGTAGTTCTAATACTGTGAAGTTTTAATTGATCAAAAAGCCAAAATTTCGTCAAAATATTGTCATTTATAAAATAAAGAGTCCAGTGATGATTTGTCGGAACAGGATTTTGAAAATAATGTCACAAAACGAGCCTTACTGGTTACTAAGCTTACCAGCATAGCTGATCCTTACTGCTAAACTATGACATTTTATTATTTTTGAAACAGTCTAACATAAAGCTTGTATTAATACTTTTTACATATGTTATAGGGCAATGGTCTGACCCTAACACAAATAAAAAAGTTTGGTATTTTGTACGAAGCTCAAAAGACATCCGGTAGAATTGATCCTGCGAAAAGTGAAAAATTGTTCAATGATCTTGGTATAACCGTAAACAACGAATTGAAACTGCTATTTAAATCGGATGGTCAGAATAAAAACATTTTCTTTATTATAATATTACTTATTATGATAAAAAATTGGACTAATTATTAAAACTCACACAGGACGCGTTGGAATATTGTTGATGGATTTAATCATGGCTGCGGCAGAACGCAATAAGATTTTAATGGAGAATGTAATTTCGTTTATAATTTTCTGTTTTATACATCTTAAAGTTATTCACTGCTATATTTGTTATACTATCTCACCTATTATACATTTTTACATTATCAATTTCTTAGGATTTAAGAGTGATAAGTCCAAGCGAGGTCATGTATGCCAGAAACGACTTCAATGAGTTTGACGATAGTAAAGACGGTGAACTGTCTCCTAAGGAGTATGCCGACAACAAGGCATACTTAAACCCTATTTCAAAATCAATGGAACAGTCGGCAAAACCTATTATTAAAAACGTAAACTTTGCGGAATTCTTGGAAATGCTATAGTTTGTTGACGAACATGATAGCGTAGAAGACTCTATGACATCAAGTTTTAATTCCTATATTGATGAATCACAATCTTAAACAATATTTGAAATTATGATATATTATAATAATTAAATATTTGAAATATTTTTATGTATTTATGAATTGAAATATACGGTGTCTAATAAACCTTTTCCGTTTTATATATTATGGATACATATGAGTTCTAACTACTGACAAATTTTCAATTTAAAGGTCCTAAAATTACGCCTAAAAAACTAAAAAACAAAAATACTTGTACCCCCTAACCTAACCCCCTAGGGGGTGGAAAATGGATATGATTTAAATTTGATACGTAGATGTCACAGGTTTCAAAACCCAACGACTTTTGGTCGTTTGTAAACGGTTGGTAATGTAGACGAAAGACAAATAACTGTTAGGATTACACAAGTATTTTTCATCACTGTCTTGTATTCTAGTTGACAATTTTTTGTTATTGTGTTCATATCTCTAATAAATTAATTGAATTCGTCTTTATTCTTTAATTTATTGCAGTTAAGAAAATATTGTTGCTGTACATTTATTAAATGTAATATTAAGTAATAATTATACATGTTTAAATTAGGTCGATTAATTCACATAATATTTTGTTTTAATATACAAAGAAGTTGTTCGCATTAGCTCTAAGAACATCAGGGTTCTACGGTCATGATAAAAAATAGTTCAAACATTTGAATATGTATCCATACAAACCATACATACTATACAAACAAAATACGCTAATAAAACACTTGTTTTTTATAAACAACGTGCCCTAAAATATTGTATGGTATTATTTTTAAATTTAGCTATGTATTAAGACATATTATTTTGTACGTAACATTTTTTTATAAAACATAGATTTAGAAAACTTATTATAATACACAGTGAATTTTTCAAAAAAATGGTTACTTTTGGATATTTTAAAATTATACATTAAATTTGTAGATATTAAATCTATTACTACTGTTAAAATTTGAAACTGCCTAAAAAAATTATTCATCGTTGACAGAATTGGTGCTCAGTGACATTGGTTTATTTCACCTAAATTAAAACAATTGTTTTAGCCAGGATTTTGTTTAAGAAAGATCCAAACTTCGATTTATCGAAATTAAAAAAATATGTATTAGACTATAATATATATTTTTATTTATATATATTAATCTATATATAAATATATATATTTTAGACAATACATAAGTGTGAAAATATCATTTTTGTAACGGGTTTTCTCAAGAAGCACTTTTCCGATCTATAGAGCATAGCATGGAGTATATTTAAAGTAATAGAATCATAAAAAAAAGTAAAATCTAACAGCATAGAAGGGATTTAAACTCGGTCACTGAACCGGTTTCTTCGTGTAGCAATTATTGGATTTTTTACTAATTAACTTTTTAATAAGGAAAACCTAAAAAGGGGAAAAATGTACACTTTCATCATTGTCAATCATTAGGTTGCTATGTGTATGTAAATAAACAGTCAACGTGTATTGGAAAATATTTCTATTATATTGTTAATTAGGTACGATACATGGGTATCTTTATTCCTAGATTTACTTTAGGATTTTATACACAGATGTTATAATACTATGTTGTTTTCAACTGCTTTATAATTTGAATATTTAGAAAAGCAAAATATAAGACATTTGTAATAATTCCCGTGCACGCAATATACAGAAATAATTTTTTTTTTATATTAAAGTATTTTTAAACGATAAAGGCATAAACAACTACTGGGACAAAGTCAGCTAGGAGTCGTTCGGTTTGAATTTTTCTTTTTGCAATAATATTGAGTGTTTTTATGACTCATAAAATGTTTTTTCATACCGATACGAATTAAAGGTAAATAGACGCGAAAAAAAATATTACTAACCGTGTATCGTTTAGACACTTTACTATTTTTTAAAATATACTATCGCATTTTATACAACGATAATTTAGAATACAAAATAAAACCTAAAACATTATCAATTGGAAACCCAAATTTGGGCCTCTGGATGAAGAAATCTGTAGACGTTAGGTGAATACGATTAGGGTTGATGGTCTGTCTATATAAATATATTGCTATAGTCATAAGTCTGCAGGCAAAGAGTTAGTGGGTTTATTTAGTATTGATTGTGCCGTGTACGCGTGTAAAAGAATAAGTATTGGTTATAAATGTGTGTACTTGAATATATATATATATATTGTAAACCTCATATTTTGTCAATATGAGTGTTATAGAACCTAAGCGAAAACGTATTAAATTCGAATGTTTAGCATGTGATAGCACATTTGATGATGATTATCGTCGTAAATACGAACAACAGGTGCATAATGGTCAGAGAATGAAGGTGAAACACTAAGGAGCTGCTAACAATCCTTTTAGGACTACCCGAGTAAATTTTGAACAAAATGTATGAGATGGATACTTATTTAGAATAAATCATAAAGCCAGATTTGTAAGACCAATGAGAGTTTCTTGGTACTTACTTACTTCACTACGTTTCTTCTTTATTACTATCGTTGCGGTGGGACATTACCTACTATAATGGGCTATTTGGATGAATAACATAAAAATATATTAAAAATAATACATTTTAAAATTAAACACAAATTGCCCAGGTCTGGTCGTGGGACCCCGGATTTAGAACAACTTTGAAAATAAACACATACCGCATACGTACTATAAGTACTACCAATAGCACGAAATGTTGACCTATACAATTTGTAATTTATATACAGGGTGGTCCATCTGATATAAGACATTAATTTTACTCGGAAAATATTGGTATTTTGAAAATTAATTTTTTTATATACTTGTAGGTATATATTTTACTGTATTTTTCAATACCTTTAGAACTTAATATTGAAAATTTGTATCTTCATCCCGTATACGTCAAATAAACATGAACTTCGTTTTTCCAAATGGAAACATATGTTCTTAGCTCCATAAATATTATGTAGACCGAAGAAAAAAATATTTCAGCGTTTAATTTTTTAATTTTCATCAATCCGATCGACTTTGTAAAGGTAATACATTTACTTATATTTCTTAGGCTTTCCAAAAATACAGTAGCCGTCGTTATCTCGGTTAAATTGCAGTTTCAACTGCAATACGTTATAATTATGTTAAATAAATTCAAAAGTATAAATTCATAACAATATTAATTACTAAATTACTCGTTATTTATTTTTTCAACAATTATTAATTCCCATTAATTGTAGAAAAAAAGTTGTGACTTGTGATGTAAAATATCATAATATATTTACGAAAGAACCCAAATATTTTAGTCGGCAATTCAAATTTTAAAGTCAACATCTTCATTTTGCCAACCCTCCCCCACCCCCCTTCCATTGCATATTTATTAGCCCCTGATCAAATGTATAATAAATAACAACAAAATAAACCGTAAAATGATAAAAAAATTTACCATAGATATATTTTAGCATGGCGGACCATTTAAAATGATCTCTGAAAAAAAACCTACCAATCAATGGGCTATTTATCCGAAAACGCCTTAATTATTCCTATATTAGTATTAATGTGTCGGGAAAAAGGGACATTTTCCTCAAAAAAACCACAATCCCGTTTTTAACGGGACGTATGGTCACCCTAGCCGCCCGCCTTAATATCAAATTAATTTATATTGTTAATAAAATTTGTTAAAATCACTTTCTAAGAAACGCGTTGATTTTTATTGTTAACATTGCACCTCACTTTAATACGTTCTTACTGTGCTGGTTTGTATATATGATTGTAAAACATTTGATAAACCCATTCCTCGTGACGATGGGGTGGACCCTTTTTCTTTATATCGCTGTTTTAGATTAAGTTTTAGGCTAAAATACTGATATTTAGGCCGAAGGTAGATTTAGAGTAGGACTATAATTTATACCAATTTTTCAAAAATCTGGTAGTCAAACTTTATTAAATATAACAAAAATTATCCGATGAAGTTGTTTTTTCGCCATTTATTAATTGTGTTTTTGAACGTTTGAATTTGCTTGAACGATAATACCATATTATTACAAATATTATAACAAATACAAATTTTGTCTAAAGACCAATCATAACACTTAAAAAAAATTGTTTTTCACCAAAGTATGTTTGGTGTCTTGTAAACACATTTTTTATTATTGTGTTTATAATTCTCATTCTCCGATCTTTTTATGTATTAATTTAATTCGCGTTCAATAGTATTGTTATACGTTTTCTATACAATCAAATGAAATGTAATAAAAGTAATAATTATAAACGTTTTGATTAGGACAATTTAATAAAATAATTTTGTATGTTAATACATCCAATCTATTACAATCTCGAAACTCCCAATAAAATTATTCATCATTGATTGATGAAACTCGTTTAGGGTGAATTGATATTTCCTAAAGTCTGAGGCATCTCATAGATCCAAAGTGGTAGTTTTGGCACTGTAGGTACATTATTATTTTGTTATAAGACGGTTGTGTAAACAAGTAGTACATTTTTTATTTTTGTTAAACCGCAAAACAACTACTGTTTTTCAAGATTCGTAGCCCGTAGCCAAGATTATTTTTTTAATGTATCATACATTTATTGGTCAATATAATATTAATAAATGTATTAAATTGTCTCATTTGATTACAATAATCCTAAAATAGATATTATTTGATATTTCAATAGATTTTTTATTATTTATTAGGAATACAAGTCTCCCTAGAGACAGAGGCGTTTTAAATACCTAAAGGTATAGTAAATAAGTAAAAAAATAATGTGCATGGCTATTGTAAAATAATGGAAAAAAACATTTTTGTATTTAACGCAAAACATATTAAGGTTACTTATGTATAAATATATCGGTTTTAAAAAACAACAGAAACTGTAGGACTTTAGAACATTTTATAAAAGTTATATAATATCATCTGATTTGAATATACGTTGATATAAACTCAGTCAAGAAAGTGAATGGTGTTCAGAAATAAATATAACTATGAGTAATTATATTTAGAAAAATTCACTTCGATGTCAATCTACAGGTGTCACATGAGGAATTACTAATTAAAAAAT